CATATAAATTATTTAGTTTTGTGCATGTACTTATGTCTGATTAACCGTTAAGAAAAACAAAATGGATTGGATCGAGAAAGAAAACATTGGCAAAGGAGGGGAGTAAGTTTTACTTGATCTTCGTAGTATAAGTGTTACGTGCAAGTACCATCAACAAACTCCCTTCAATTACTTCTTTGTTTTTAATTTGTTCTTTAAGACTTGAAAAGTCAACACTCACACTCCACAAAATTTTAGATCATGCTCAGATTTTTTTTTTGTTGCAACATCTGCAAAAATAATTGTTCGTTATTATCTTTCAAGTTACTGAGATTTATTAGGTACTATTTTCCTGCAATTTTTAAATTTAGAACACACTTTTTTCTCATCGGAATATTCATATATATCTGAAAATTAGAAGGAAATAATTATAAGAAATAAAACCAGCATGTATGTATATGTAAAAAAGAAAACTCACGCGTATGCGCGGATATTGGCCTAAACGAATGAATAAATAAGGTAAATTGTTTTAAATTCTAGGTATATTTGGAATGTAAAATACATTACCATAATAACAATTAATGATAAATATATTTTAATTAGAAAAATATGAAAATCAGTTATAATTTGGTAAAACAATAATTATTCACAAATTCTATAATAACTATAAGATCCGCGAAATCCAATCTTGGTCAATTCGAAAAAAATAAGTCAATAACTATAAGAGACACAACTAAAATACACCAWGATTACACTAATGTTCTATTCATCTAAGATAAGTATAAGATCACACAAATAAACAAATATATAAAATACTACACTCTTGGACGAATCATTATTGGATTTGTTTCATCTATTAAACTACCCTAGTTCATATTCTTTGGCTACTTGTATAAATGATTCATTATACATTCTGAATMTTTTTTAGTGATGTATAAAAAAAGATCTCTCACTAAAACATTAAAAAGAAATTAGTAATGAAATTCTGGTAAATCGGACTTCTCTTTGAAATTACAAATGTATGTAGAATTTCTTTTGCAATGGAGTCCAAATAACATTTTCAATGTTTTACATCGAACGTGATTCATTCTTATAAGTAAACTAATATAAAGTTTGTGTTATTCTAGGAAAA